CGAGACTAAACGGGAGAAGGAAAGACGTCGAGCATTGCTCCGCGCAAAAGCCAAACAGGCTCGTGCTAAGCTTCGAGCTGCCAAGAAACGTGCTGCTCGCAAGCCGAGCTCACGTGAAAGACGCCGCATGGAGCGCAAGACAAGGTCCTTCCTGATTTCCACGATTGATGATGCGCATGTACTCCTCGTCGAGGGCTGCACGTCAGCACATGCGATCTACCAAAAACTACGCGATCGCTACGAAGGCTCGACGGCTCATGGTGACCCCTATTACATCAACCATTACTTGATGACTATCAAGTATGAGGAGGGCACTGATCTCATGGTTTTTTTCCTTGAGTTTGAGCGCGCGTTGAAGGCGGCGGCTGAGGCTACGGGTATAGTGATGACTGACGAACAGAAGTCCCTCTACCTGTACCACGCTATGCCCAGCACGTGGAAGCCCGACCTCGCGATCTGGAAGGGCAGTAAAAAGTTCATCCCTTATACTGATCTCAAGAACAACGTGGAACGCAAGGTGCTGGATGACTATGCTAAGCGCAAATACGTGATTGAGAAAGGCAGTCCAGAATCGACTACGACGGCTAACGAGACAGCCCTCCGGGCTATTTCGAACGCGCCGCATGGTCGTGATGACCCACCACGCTCAACCCCACACTGCACTTACTGTCAACGCGCCAATCATGTGATTCGTGACTGTCGGGTCCTCCAGAAGCACCTGCGGACTGGTACGGTCAAAGAGGGCACCGTTCTGCCCGCCAACTTCGCTTTCATTGAGCGCAAGCCCCGTGATGAGCAGAACCCCTTCCCAGCGAAACAACCCCGTAACCAACGATCTGACGATCGTCGGCAACCTTCGTCCCGCAACGATAGCAGTAATGCTCCGGAGATTTACGATCGCTTTGGCAATCCTGTCAACTTTCAAGATCTGCAACGCACGTACAACTCGCTTGGACGGGAGGCTGGCCTCATTGCCTACGCTACCATTACTATGCCGGACATTGGACTTGCTGCTACGGGTACCAGCCCACGTGATCCTACGTGGACTGTGGACTCTGGATGTACTCGTCACGCTGCATACCAGGAATCATGGTTCAAGGAGATCCGTCCTTATGCGGGTGCAATCATGGTCGGTGGCAAAAAGCAGTTACCAATCCGTGGAATTGGAGATGTTGTCCTCGAAGTACTCGACACCACTGGTGCCGCTCGTCTCCTTGAATTCAGCAATGTGCTCTACGTACCGGACATGCAGTTTAACCTGCTTTCCATCGCCCAAATCCTGAAGACTGGTGTTCGCCTTGTTTTCAACCGATCGCGATGCACCTTCTTCGTGGGCAAGGACTACAAGGTTCACGTCAACCTTGCTGCTGACATGGACTTGTTCCAACTCAAGGCCAAAACGCCGGGTAAGACGCCATCCAGCGCGCTTGTAGCCTCGGCTCCTGCGGAAGATAATCCCGCCAATGCCCTTGTGGCCCAAACAGGTATGGACCCAACAGTTCTATTATGGCACAAACGTCTCGGTCATCCTAACTTTCGTGTGCTGCAGACGATGTCTAAAGACCAAGCTGCCCCTGAACTCGCGTTCACGCAAGCAACAGCCATCCAGAAGTACTTTTGTCCTTCCTGCATTTTCGCTAAAGCACACCGTGCTCCATTCAATAACCATGTCGAGCGTGCCACAACGCCTCTCGAAAAGGTTCATTCCGATATTAACGGTCCTTTGCCCTATCCTAGCTTAAGCGGCGCTCACTATTTCATCACATTCATCGATGACTACTCGCGCTTCATGCACTTATATGTAGTACGGCGCAAGTCCGATCTCTATGAATGCTATGAAAATTTTCGGAAGGCAGCAAAAAACCGTTTCAACACCGAAATTGGTACACTTGAAACGCAGTTCAATCAGTATGACCCTGAAGTCCAACGCCTACAAAGCGACAATGGCAAAGAATATGAGAAACTAGGCCAGATCGTCTTTGGCCGCTACGGCACCCACGCTTAATTCACCAATGCATACACGCCTCAACAAAATGGCGTGGCAGAGCGTCGGATGCGCACTATTCTCGAACGAGTACGTGCCCTTCTCATCGACGGCGATCTGCCTCGCCAGCTTTGGGGGGAGTGCTGCCAGTATGTCACGCACCTGATCAATTTGACGACGAGTAGTGTACTTCCAAAAGGGGTTACTCCGTATGAGCTTTGGCATAAGAAGAAGCCTTCGCTTGCCTACATCAGAGTGTTTGGGTGTGCAGCGTTTGCGCTGACGCCGGAACCCCATCGCAACAAACTTGAGGCTCGTGCCAAACTCTGCATGTTTGTTGGCCTACCACAAAACAAGAAAGGATATCGCCTCCTCAGCACGACAGAGAACAGAATCATTTACAGCCGCGACGTTACGTTCAAAGAGGAAACATTTCCTAAACTGACGTTTCTTGAGCGCGCCACACCAGACCCACTTAGCGTCTCTTTGCCTGTCCAAAAAGAACTCTTACCTCCTCTAAACGCACTCCTGAAACGGAATCATGCCTCCTTAATGGCCACTGATGCTGACGTTAGCACTGCTTCCGTGAAGAAAGTCAAACTACATGAGGCTCTTTCCGAATACTCGAAAGCTTTACTGCTTAACGAGCCCATTGACTTGGAAGAGGAGCAGGTCAGGCTTCATACCATCGTAAGTCTCTTAGCTGCTCGCTATGACCCAGAACCTAAGACCTATAAGGAAGCCATGCGCTCCTCATATGCATCTGACTGGCACGCTGCTGCTCTATCGGAATACGAATCACTCATGGAAAATAAGACATGGGTCCTCGTAACCCGCCCTCGCAACCGTAAGGTACTGCAAAACCGATGGGTCTTCGTGCGTAAACGCAATGCAACTGGCCTCATTGAGCGCTTTAAAGCTCGCTTGGTTATCAAAGGTTTCCAGCAGAAGTACGGCATCGACTACACAGAGATATTTTCGCCAGTCGTGCGGGTGGAAGTCCTTCGACTGCTGCTCACGCTTGCAGCAATCCTTGACTACGAGGTGGAACAAATGGATGTGAAAACGGCTTTCCTCAATGGATACCTTGATGAGGAAATTTTCATGGAGCAGCCTGAGGGATTCCAGTCGAAAAATAACCCTGATCTGGTTTGCCTCCTTGGTAAGAGCCTTTACGGCCTCAAGCAAGCACCCAGAGTCTGGTACTTCACCTTTGCACAATACCTCGAACGTCTTGGTTTTCGTCGCCTCGTCAAAGACCGCTGCGTGTTCTTTAAAGTCATTTTCAATGCACCATGCTACATTTCGGTTTACGTGGATGACCTATTGATCATCTCGCCGTCCAAGCAAGTCGTTGCCCGGGTGAAATCGGCCTTGAGCTCAGAGTTTCACATGACCGATTTAGGGGGAGTATCATACCTACTTGGCTGGACGATAGAAAGAAATCGTGCCACTCGCTCGATCTTCATTCACCAAAAGAGCTATGCCACTAAAGTGCTTGATCGCTTCACAATGTTGGAGAGCTATCCCAAGGACACACCTATCGCTCAGAAACTTAGTGCCACAGATTGCCCCGACAATGAGGCAGATAAAGCTCTCATGGCGGCCAAGCCGTACCGAGAAGCAGTGGGTAGCTTCATGTACCTGATGACAGGCACAAGACCTGATCTTGCGTACTTCTTACGTGAAGTCAGCCAGTACCTTGATAACCCAGGAAAGCCTCACTGGAACACTGTCAAGCAAGGTCTCCGCTACCTAAATGGCACCAAGGAGTTTGGCATCACTCTTGGGGGGATTGAAAACTTAGAGCTTCTGCAGTCAGATGAGTATCTCATGGCATACACGGACTCAGACTACGCAGCATGCCAAGACACACGCCGCTGCATTGGTGGCTATATAACCATGTTCTGTAACAGTCCGATCAGTTGGGTCTCACGCCGCCACCACACTGTGGTGCTGTCAACGACTGAGGCAGAGTACATCGCACTCTGCTACTGCATGCAAGAGTTGTTATATATAAAGTTATTGCTAAGAGAACTAGGCTACGACAGCTCAAAGCCCACATTGATACTGGAAGACAACCAAAGTTGTATCAAAATATGCAACAACCCAGAGCTGCACGGCCGGAGTAAGCATATCGATATAAAGTACTTCTTCGTACAAGAGAAAGTTGCAAGAAAAGAGTTCACTATCAATTACTGCAACACGACCAAAATGTGTGCAGACATTTTCACTAAGCCTCTGGCTAAACCAATATTTGAGAAAATGAGAGAGCTATTACGAGTCGCTCCATCACAACAATTATAAATACAAAAAAATAAATTTGTGTTGGTAAGGGCATCTTGTTTATTGTCCAAAAGTTTAAAACCCACCGTGAAATCCCCTTCAGACATATACCGGATACTTACGTACGAGGCGTGAAGACGCGGAATGGACGCACGAATGAGAAGAAGTTCATCCACTTGCAATCCGAAATTGAAACCTCACGGGTTGTGCCATCTTTATTCTCGTCGATAATGGTGCGCTCCTTGCCTTGGTCAGCAACACGAAGGACTACGCAGTGTCCATAGAAATTTCGGTTGTACGCGCCGACCAGATAGATCCCATCTGTAAGTCCATCCTTCTCCGTCAATTCCAAAAGCACGCGTCCACCGCGGCGTCCACCTTTAATAAGGTTCTTCTTCAAGTGGTTAATGACCAAGTCACACCCTGCAGACCGACGCTTGGGCAGCAACTTGGCAAACAGCTTCCAAGTGCAAGACTTGAGTAGGTCTCGGCCTTGCTTCAACTCGTCCGCGATAAATTGGTCGACGACGTCCTGGGGGATTAAACCCGGTCGGCCAATAGCGTCCGCAGCCATATTTAAAGCAGTAAACATGCAGCTGTAGTTGTCGCTGGCATCGATTATAGCTTTTCCAAAGTCATCCGTTTTGCAGAACTCACGAAAATGCTGCATGCCGCTGTCAGCAAAGCGCACAGCGAGCTGAACTTCCTCAGCGTGAGTCTCCGACATCCTTGACGCAGGTTCCCAAGTCCGGTACCTCTGGCTCGTCGGGGTTGGGCGCCAGTCCCACAGAACACTCACACGCTGCAGGGTGCCATCCGCATCGCGCTCAATCTTGTCGATCTGCCAGACCTCCCACAGGCGCTCAGGATTCGGATCCCACGTCTGAACCGCTGGAGCTTCCTCATCGTCGCTCGACAGCGGGTCTGGGTCTTCACCTGATGAGCCGTCGCTCTCGAGGTCATCGCTGCAGAAGCTCTCAGAGACATCGTCATCGCTACAAAGCTCATCAGCGCTTTCATCCTCCCCAGAGGAGAGTATAGCACTGTAGCTGAACGGGTTCTCTTGCTCGTCATTCTCCTCTCGCTTCTCTTCTTGAGGTGACGGTGGCGCAAGACGCTGGCGTTTGGATGCTGGCGGCACAGTCATATCACTCGCCATATCAAATTCGAAAAAAAAAAAAA